AGAAACAGGAATATTGATCAACGCTCTATATATATATATATATACATATGTATATGTATATGTATATGTGTGTGTGTATGTATGCATGCATGCATGTATACAAAGATATATGCACAAAACTGACTGGTGTGTGTGTGTGTGTGCGTTTTCAAGCGCTTGTGCATCGCGCGTGCATGGACTGCTCTAGCAGCTCTAGCACATGTCTTATGATGATGGCGCACCACACAGCAGGATGGCTTCTACATCGAGGTATCATGTGCAAGAGTCATAACCACAGCAAATATCAGTCAAAGCCTTTCGGCATCTCGGCACTTCACGTTGACGTCGCACCAACCGTTTCACCATCGGTTTCTAGTCAGCCCGTCCTCCGCCTTTCCCATAAAATCGCTTTTTCTGTGATGCATGTTGCATGCAAGCCTGAAAGGTCTGATGCACGGAGATGTGCCAGGTAGGCCTACATAGCGAGAACTCCATCGACTTGCCATACATGCTGAAACCCTCCTGAGGTGGTGCTGCCCATGATCTTTTGCGGCATGGTCCATTCCATGGTCGCTAGGCTGCAAGGCTAGCTTGAAAAGAGATGTCGGGGGAGTTCGGCTGGTTCTGACATGAGAATCTGGTGACGGTTGCGATTCCGATTGGGTGTCCGCACGGCTGACCAAGGGTCCAGACGATCAAGATTTTGGCATGCCTGAGGTTTAAACTTCCAAGCCCGACTCACCACGTTAGAGCATGGGAAACATTGGGAAACAATTCGCTTCTTGAGTTTTTGTCGCACTGATCTTTTTCAAGCCACTTCTCGTGCAGACGTTTCAAGTCCTAGGCTGACATCACCCAGCATCTTGCCTGCCGCCTGCCAAGTCTCATCCCTTTGGGCTATCGGCCTGATGGTTTTTGGGCGGCCCAGGTCATGATGCGAGAACTTCCAGCCGCGCGCAGTGCCGCCATCTGGGTTATCGGGCTCTACACCACCACCACGGCAGCAGGGCTTTCAATAGTGATTTGGTGATTTGCTGACCACCTGTTTCAATTGCAAAGTAGCGTGGTGGTCTTCAACGGACAAGGGCAGCGTAGCGAATCTTTCTCGACAGATCTGAGAACTGCACGTAGCTACAACAAGTGGATTTGACTGCCGGTGCGCGGATGTGCGCGGTGTTTGCAAGCAGTGTCATCAGCTGAAAAAGCCGTCGTTCTCATGGCAACCAGACACAGAGCAAGCCGCTCTAGTCCCCGACGCCTAGGTTGTGGCAGCTACGGAGGTGGGTCAGGGATGGGTCGGGGAGGTACATGCGCAGCCAGTAGTGGCCCCTTGGCTTCCGAGACTGAGAGAATGCTTAGCTGCATCGATCGTAGGCCACACGAACCCATACCTTAAGGATTTTAGCTGTGTATTGAATCGAAGCTCCTCATGCCTTGCCGCTTTGCCAGCATGCAGAGCTACACCGGCGATTAGACATGCAACACAGCATGGAGCAGCACATGGTCGACTTTGTGCTTCTTGTGTCTACCGACCGTCAAGACTTTTGCTACAGCGGCAACGAGTCGCAGTTCTGTGCTCTAGGCATGGTTTGTGCTGAAATACGAACGCCATACTCGCTTTGGGAGGGCGTTGCCATCTCTTGGACGCTGCTGCGAACCTCCTTGAAACCTGTGGAGGCGGCCCTAGCGAAGGCTGGAAAGACAGAATTCGTCCTGTCGATTTATTGTTTGGCTTGATCGCCTGCCATGGCCATTAGCTAATTTGCCTGACCGTTGGACTGGCCATGATCGCTCATGCATCTTGACATGCCCCATTCGCTTCGAGAAGTTCCGGCATTGCGAGTGTGTGTGTGTGTGTGTGTGCGTGTGTGTGTGTGTGATAGTGTGTGTATGCGTGTGTGTGTGTGTGTGTGTGTGTGTGTTCTTGTGGTCGTAGTCGATAGCCCCTGCGCCTGCGGCTGGAGCGTTTTCGACTTCCGGATAATTTTGGAAAAATCTACCGTGTTGCAGCATTCTCACTAAGACGATCTGTGACACCGCCAGGAGACGGGGCTGGAGAAGATGTCCATGCTGGACACAGTTCTGAACATCTTCGACCAGCTGGTTCCGAAAAATGTTGTCCCTTGGGTCTGAGCTTTGGAGCACGCACTCGTCTCTCATGCTGTCATCTAGTGCATCTGCAGTATCATGGTCTTACATGACATGAAGTCATGCCTCTGAATCGTTGTGATGTTTATTGAGCCATGGCGTTAACATTTCATCGAATCCTGCACGAAAGCCATCTGGGTGTACAAAGTCTTTTCCAGATCCCATGCACCTGCACCCCTTATTCTCGAAGAATACATGTCGACCTCTCGTTCCCTACACCGGGCAAGAGTCTGGGCGATGTGCCTCTGCCTTGCAACCTTGAGAGAAGCACTTCAGTGTATCTTACGAGTATCAGGTGAAGGACGCGGCACAGAACCACCTCATCTCGGTCATTCTCATGGCGACCCGGCAGTATCCGGCAGTCATGTCTTAGTCTTCGAATTCAAGCATTTTCCTTCGATAAGGCGTTGAATTTTCGCCGCTGATTGCAATCATCCAAAATCAGATGCATGTCAAAAAGAAAAGCCAAGGCAATCATCGTCGGCATCCTCCTTCGTGTGAAGCGCGATGATGGCCGCAGGTCTTCGGGAGATGTCAATTTGAGAGTAGCCGCTTTGAGCTTCACGCAGCATCGAAGTTTTCGCATATGAGGAGAGACTTTGTTGGTTGTAGTTTGGCATTTGGGCCTCAGCGCTCGGACATTGGATGTGGGCTTCGTGTTCCAGACGAAGGGTCCGCGAGCAGATTGTCCAGGCGCCATCCTCAGGCGTTCAGGGACTCGCAGATTTTGGCTTCGTGCGTGCGTCGTTCTTGCATCAATGCTGTTGGGCTGAGCAGGAGCATTTTTCTTGACCTGCTGGACGAGATCAACGAGGCATATCTGAGTGTCATCGACTTTGGCTAAGTTATTGCACATCATGTGATGCCTGTGATGTTGCTGTGATGGCCGTCTCGATATATCCATGCTGTGGTTCGGTATCCCTACGGAGTCAGTAGTATTGTGTCTAATGCTTTCGGTCTAGGTCTTGCAAGAGCTTTGGGCTTTGGTGGTCTGTGTAGGTTCGGAGACTGAAGCCTGTAAGACTGTGCGAGAAGTTCGTTTTTCTGCGCTACTTACAGCGGTTTGAAATCGCGTGTGCAATGTGCATGTCCGCTTCAAGTTGTCGTAGTCGTCACGATAGTAATGGGTAGTAGTCAGTAGTAGTAGTAGTAGTAGTAGTAGTAGTAGCAGCAGGAGTGGTAGTAGTAGTAGTAGTAGTAGTAGTGGTCGTGGTAGTGGTAGTAGTAGTAGTAGTAGTAGTAGTAGTAGTAGTAGTCGTAGTAGTCGTGGTAGTGGTAGCGGTAGTAGTAGTAGTAGTAGTAGTAGTAGTAGTAGTTGAAGAGCTTGACTCCTCGGCCCTTCAGCTGAAGCTCCTTGAAACCTCGTTCGACGGCGCCTGAGTATCGTTCCAATTTTATTGGATGATCCCAGAAGCCACTTCCAAAACCATCAAGGCAAGCGCACGGCCCTAAACCCTTTTTACACACACAGCGACATGCTAAGCTCCTAGCGCTTCTGTGCACAGCTAGTTATGCTCGCATGCTTTGACGTGTTCGAGCCTTCGCTCTTGCACCAAATACAAAGGTCCTGACAAACACACCAGCTCCACCAGCATGTACCTGTACAAGAGGGGCTTCAGGAGTATTTTGCA